TCCATTTTGTTATGATAAAGCTGACAGTTGACTGTGGAATATTTAGGAGCGAGGAAATTTCACGACTGGATTTGTTGCACAGGTGGCATCCTATGACAGTTCCACGCTGGAATTCACTGAGCTCCTGAGAGCGGCCCATTCTTTCACAAATGTTTGTAAAAACAGTCTGCATGCCTAAGTGCTTGATTTTATACACCTGAGGCCAGGCCAAGTGATTAGGACACCTGATTCTGATCATTTGTATGGGTGACCGAATACTTTTGGTAATATAGTGTATGTCAGGAAAGACATCCATCATAAAAACTGTGCCAAATCAAATACGTGGACCAATGATCCACTGTAGCAACCCCTAACGGGAGCAGCCGAGAGAGGAACAACAACAACATTTGAGTCGTTAGCATTTTCCAGGATTTAACAGCTTAGAAGAAAAACAGGTTTGCAAGCCGCAACAAAAGCTTATGTATAATGTGCTGTTTCAACTTTAGTTATTGTGACCAGGTGTCCACTGGAGCTAAAGCTGAGGAAGATTAAATGCTGTTCACTGGAAAACTTCTTACAAAGAACAGTTCATTGAGTTTGAGGAACCATCACTAGTTGAGAATTATGTTGAAACAGGTTGGTACAATTAATGAAATATAAATAATAAAAAGAATCAGATAAAGACAAACAGATAGAATTTCTTTTTTATGGCACTGAAGGGGAAATCTTGATTTAAGGTTTTGCTTTGGAATTTCTATCCAGTGGTAACATGGTGTCACACTAATCGTTACTTAAATAAAGGTCCATTAGCCAAATGTTTTTCCCTAACATTTTCTGTGAAGCTCATTATCATAAATCATTAGAACTGTGCATCTAATTTTTTTTAATAATTTGTAACAAACCATTTATCGACTCTAACAATGCTTGGCCGAGACATATAACATGTTTCGTGTTTTTATAATTCTTAATATAATCATATGATTAGTTTCTTACCATACCCATGATGATTAGAAAGTGTTAACTCTTTCTTACAACCCAGAATGTGCTGGCTGGAGAAGGTGTCTTTTGATACCATGGAAATTGCCAATTGGTCTTGATATAACAAATTTGTGAGTTGCCAAACAGAAAGTTTGAGTTTTAATAAAAACAGTTGTCTCACTTCTTCTAATATAAATTTTGGATCATCGCATTGGGAGATCAACTTGAGCAAAACTTGGTGTTTGTTATGCAAAATGGTTTGTTCATAACGTGGAAACAAATTGTTAAGTGCTGTGGCCAAACAGATGTCAAGATCTCTCTGTCTGAGGCCACTCGAGTTCTTCAGGTAACCTTCATATGAATAAATCATTCATCATTTAGGACATTTGGCCCACTTGCGGTAACTGGGAACTTATTGTAGTACTAGAGCTGGGAGACAAGACCAAAATATCATATTACTATTCTTGAATTAATTTCTACAATACACAATATGTATCACATTATGTGGGTTTACTGACAAATGATGCCTGCAAGCAGTAGTGTTGCAGTTATTTAAAAAAAAAAAAAGAGTTTGATTATATTTTTATTTAATATCTACAAAAATTTATTTCTGAACACTGGAAGGGTGTAAAACTAACATTTCATTTAACAAAAGGACATTCTGTAATTTTAAAGATTCAGGACAAAATTCTAACATCTATTCAGTTGCTTCCAATCAGAGTTTGTGATTGGTTTTCAAAGGCTATAAAAAAATATCACAAAAGTGTATCATGACATAATATATTATGATTTACCTTATGTAAATAATAATTGACATTATTTGCATTACGATTTACATAATGTATAATAATGTTTCTTATGCCCACTTTTTTTTTGTGTGGTTGGGGGTGGAGGTGGTTTATAGTAACCGTTACCTCTGATCTCAGTGGAGCTTGAGAAAAGAGCTAAGTCAGTGTGAAGCTGGCCCACCACTGGACCCACAGAAGAGGAAAACCTTTTTCATTGATGTGTGTAACTTACTTTCTTTTTTCTTTTTTTTGCATATTGTCTCCATGGAGGAAATTGTGGCACAAAGGAACAAGTAGCTTTGAGTAAAATAAGCCTTGTGGAAACTCCAATTAAAGAAATCCTATTAGTGGACAACAAAAGGGAAAGTTGATGAAAACATTTTGTTTGTTTTTTTTTTGTTTTTTTTGTCTTTTGCAAACAGTACAGAATATTCTGTTAAGGACATTCTGAATTTTAAAATTGCTAGTCAGTTTTTGAACCCAAATTTTCAGTCAAACATTAAACCCAACAGTCAGAAAATGGTCCAGGACGTGGTGAATGAATATGACTTGAAGCACAGAGGATGCTGTCCTGGCTTCAGTGACTACAAGGTGTTTGAGATGATGGTGCCGAAGCTTGTAATCCAGCTAACTGGGCCAGCCATTGACACACTCACAGTCGTCAGTGGTGTGATTGATCACTTAACCTTTACTGCTTTCATTATTACTGTCTGATGGAAGTTTGATTTCTATACTTAAGCCAATAGAAATCAAGTAACTAAATATCCATCCAATATTTTTGTTCTAAGTTTCTCAATTCTCAGTTTCCAACATCAGCCAGGTAATTAACTGCATATGAAGCAGACCCAAATATTCCAGAACATGGTGTGACAAAAGGATATCAGATCAGATAGTCCAACAATGTTGTATTTTAAGTGCAACAGAGGGCTCAAGGAGAAAGATTATGGATCCATATGCAGAGATTTATCAAACAATATTGGGAGTCTCAACAGTCTGGTTCATTATCAAAAAATAACACTTTATTAAACAAATCGAATATCAAAATGTAGTCACAAGGCAAGACAAGGTCAGAAATACCAAAGATCAGAAATCATATCAAAATCAAGTGGCTAGGCAAAGGCATAGATGAGGCAAGACAATGCAAGGTCACACACAAGGTTTATCCACAAAACACGGCTCAGAACTCACAGGCTTGGTACACAAACTGTAAGGCATCACACCAAAGTTCCAACCCATGTGCCATTTGCTTTTTTACAGTTCAACAGAAAATGATCATGACAACAAAAGAGGTGTTTTCTCTCTGTTGAAGTGAATTAGAAAAAAATGCGGCTTGTCATAGTACCCAGAAACCACAAAGCCTGCTGTGCTGGAGACATGTTGTAAAAATGTAATAAATAGCTTTAACCCTGACTATTAGAAAGCACTGACACTGGTGACTCATTCCAAAAAATGCTAAATACACATCTCCTAACAAAAAACTTCACCATATCCACCATACAAGTCTCTGCATTAGCTGTTACTTTAGAGACAATAACATAATACAACAATATATTGACATATTACAGCCATCAATATTGTCAAAGCTGCTGTTATAGAAAATTAATCAGCACCTTTTAACCAATCAGCATTCAGAATACAGCAATGATGTGTTATAATGCCTTTTAAAAGGCACATATTATTACACACATTGGTGAATATGGAACAGACATAAGAGACTGGATGCTAAGCAACTTTCTCTTACTTAATCCAGAAAAAACAGAGGTTCTGCTACTTGGACCTAAAGCTGTAAGAAGTAAGTTTACAGGTCACACTGTTACTTTAGACGGTCTTTCTGTTTCATGTAGCTCAACAGTAAAAGATCTGGGTGTGATTATAGACTCTAATCTCTCGTTCGAAGCT